TATGTGTGTGTGTGTGTGTGTGTGTGTGTGTGTGTGTGTGTGTGTGTGTGTGTGTGTGTGTGTGTGTGTGTGTGTGTGTGTGTCTGTGTATGTGTGTGTGTGTGTGTGTGTGTGTGTGTGTGTGTGGTGTGTGTGTGTGTGTGTGTGTGTGTCTGTGTGTGTGTGTGTGTGTGTGTGTGTGTGTGTGTGTGTGTGTGTGTGTGTGTGTGTGTGTGTGTGTGTGTGTGTGTTTATTTATTATTATTTTTATTGTTTTTTAATCTGTTACTTTTTACTTCAAGAATAATTAGTATGTGAAACAATAATTAAATACATTACTGACAATGGAAAGAAAGTCTGGATATAGAAAAGGTATACTAATGAGGAAGAGAAAGAATGACAAATATAAGTGAAAAATAATAAAGGGAACAAGAGTGGAAAAAGATACAAATAGAAATACGGCAAAAATGAAAAAGTCAGAAAGACAAACTTGCAAATACAAAGTTATAGTCCGGGCTATGAAAAACAAGCAAACAAAAAACAAGCAAACAAAAACGCATTAGAAACAGAAAGAGAGAGGAGAGAGAGGAGAGAGAGAGAGAGAGAGAGAGAAGAGAGAGAGAGAGAGAGAGAGAGAGAGAGAGAGAGAGAGAGAGAGAGAATGAGAGAGAGAGAGAGAGAGAGGAGAGAGAGAGAGAGAGAGAGAGAGAGAGAGAGAGAGAGAGAGAGAGAGAGAGAGAGAGAGGAGAGAGAGAGAGAGAGAGAGAGAGAGAGAGAGAGAGAGAGAGAGAGAGAGAGAGAGAGAGAGAGAGAGAGAGAGAGAGAGAGAGAGAAGAGAGAGAGAGAGAGAGAGAGAGAGAGAGAGAGAGAGAAGAGAGAGAGAGAGAGAGAGAGAGAGAGAGAGAGGAGAGAGAGAGAGAGAGAGAGAGAGAGAGGAGAGAGAGAGAGAGAGAGAGGAGAGAGAGAGAAGAGAGAGAAGAGAGAGAGAGAGAGAGAGAGAGAGAGAGAGAGAGAGAGAGAGAGAGAGAGAGAGAGAGAGAGAGAGAGAGAGAGAGAGAGAGAGAGAGAGAATTCGTGTTCGCACTTGTGTGTGCTTACGAAACCATGTCTATCTACAAAAGTGTAATAAAAATAATGCAGCACCAAAGACTAGACAGTTCCCGGTGAAACTCCAAATTCGTTTCCGAGTCGTTTTCGCGCCCCCCTCCCCCCACCTCGCCGCCGCCACAGTGCCCGGATGCCGCCTTGGACGACCGGCGAAAGAAGTTGCACACAGACCTCCTCACTTCGGCCTTTTAAGATGTCATTCACTCTCGACAACTCTCTTCTTCGCACACCGACCCGAGAAAAGCGACAGTTCTTTCTGCCTCATTTATCACCAATCAAGTCCTTTTTTATCACTTGTTTTAAAAAATATCAACTCGAAATATCTAATTTATAGATTTGATGCTTACATAACACTTAATGCATCTACAATATAACTAAAAGGTTAATCTTAGAAACTGACAGCGTCCCTTAATATCAAGTCATTAACGTGGTAGGCAAATTGTGTAGTTGAGACTGTAAGCGGTATAACTGTCTCGTTTAATCTAAATTATAACGACGTTACAATTGCCTCATTTAACGGCGCCAGTTTCTCCATTTAACTCCCAGGCTGATAACATAACTTCATAAATCAACGCTGCAACTGCACAGTCCACCTTCACATGTTTTGGATGCAATTCGTTCTCCGTCCAACTCGAGCTATGGCGTTGCTCTTGCTGAATCATGTCTAATTCTTTTCTTAAATACAAGAACATCATTTTGGGTTTGCATATTTGCAGCGTGAGACGTATTTAGCATGAACATTAAGCATTGTACTGCACGTGTTCTGCAAGCGGCCGTCAGTTATTTATGGCTGAACCCAAATCCCGGGAAGTATGGAGAATCGCGGTTTGGCCGATTATACGGCTCTGTGAAAGAGGGACGTACGTGTGCAATGCGAATGTAAGGACTTTTGATACATGTGAAAATTTGGCTTTTGCGCAAGAAATCGACTCCCCCCCCCTCTCTCTCTCTCTCTCTCTCTCTCTCTCTCTCTCTCTCTCTCTCTCTCTCTCTCTCTCTCTCTCTCTCTCTCTCTCTCTCTCTCTTGTGTGTTGTGTGGTGCAGCGGTAGCGATTTCGTCTAGCAATCTTGCTGACCTGCGTTCGAATCCCTAGCCGCCGGTGGGTGGTAACCCTGGCCATTCCTTGCACACAGGGGATAACTTAGAAGCATTATGTCACTTGGTGTGACACTATGTCACACCAAGAATATCCATTGTAACAAATGGAATCAAACTAAACCTTAACCCCCCCCCCCTCTCTCTCTCTCTCTCTCTCTCTCTCTCTCTCTCTCTCTCTCTCTCTCTCACTCTCTCAGTTACAGTATTAACAATTATTACTATAATAACTGTTATCATCGTAACAACAATAATAACGCTGATAATGATAGTAATGATGATGATAATGATAACAGTACAACAGATCACCCCCCCCCCCTCACGTCCCTTCTTGGTGCACATTGGCGCTAATAACATCTGCTTGCGTGTAGCATCATAGGCCTCGTGAGGGCGTAAGTTGATAATCTTCTGCACATATCCTGGGACCGTTTGATCTGTGATACGAGTCATGGCGTCTGATAATTTGGATTTGATGCCGACTGAATTAGGCACGTCGGCTGATGAGCATGGTGTACGGGTTTAAGGATCTTTGTACTTAATTGAATGGAAGTTGATGGCCCCATCTATGGAAGCAGTCTCTCTCTGAATATTCATTCGTCTATTTAACTACTCACCTACTGATAAGTTTCCCCGTTCCCTTTATTTTTTTCAGAGCGGAGCGGCACCGTATACGGTTCGATAGACGACATAACGAAGATCTTTTAGTCTGGCTTTCACGACCTGCCGAGCTAATTGGGTGCACGGAATCGATTGCAAGGGGCTTCGACTCCACTTTCGTCTCTCTGATACTCTTAGTTAACGGGATCGAGTAGCGTTTGATGCGATCCCTCGTGCAGTTTGGTATATTGTTCTCATTTTGTTCTTAACACTATTTGTAGCATTTTGTGTTAGTTTAACGAGATGGTGGCTTCACAGTTTCTCATTCTTTGTTATTCTGACTCTGCTTGTGTGAGACATTGAAAGATAGACAGATGTATACATAAATAAAGAGATACAGATAAATAAATATGCAGACAAAAATAGAAGTGAAACAAAGAGAAAAGGGGGAAAAAAGATACAGAGATCTAATATAGACTCCGGCATCTTTCCCCACAACACATCTCGAAAAGCCTACATCAGTATCATCCGCCGCGATTGATTCGTGTTATTCATGAGTGTTTCGTGGTCTCACCCTGCCCTGAACGCCCTTTATATCTCGATGAAGTGAGGTGTAGAATACTAATGAACATGACGAACTAGAGATAGATGGATGGATAGATAGATAGATAGATAGATAGATAGATAGATAGAATTATATATATATACATATTTATACATACATACATAATATATATATATATATATATATATATATATATATATATATATATATATATATATATATATATATATATATATATATATATATATATATATATATATATATATATATATATATATATATATATATATATATATATATATATATATATATGTATATATTCATATATATATATATATATATATATATATATATATATATATATATATATATATATATATATATATATGTATATATTTTTATATATATATATATATATATATATATATATATATATATATATATATATATATATATATATATATATATACATAGAGAGAGAGAGAGAGAGAGAGAGAGAGAGAGAGAGAGAGAGAGAGAGAGAGAGAGAGAGAGAGAGAGAGAGAGAGAGAGAGAGAGAGAGAGAGAGAGAGAGAGCTGTCATTTCGATAAATTTCATCGTTATTAATTTTTAAAGCTGCTGTTCAAATTCAACAGCAGCGAAGATAAACAAACACACAAACACAAAGACGCGGGCGCACCCTCTATATACAAAAACTCTCTCGTGCAGCTTTATAGCGTTATTATTCATCAAGGTTGGGACACCCTTTGATGTTTATACAGAAATTCACATACAAAACACATTCGAAGATCAATAGATTTTTTTTCTTGTCTCTGAATTGTACCTCAACTTGTTATT